TACCCTGTTTCCCCGAAAATAAGACCTACCCCGATAATAAGACCTGGTACTATTTTTGGGCATTTGCTAAAATATAAGACCTACCCCGAAAATAAGACCTAGTTGTGACCTTTCCCAGGGCCGGTGGTTGCATAAGGGGGAACTTGAAGAGCCGGAGGAGAGAATCAGCGGTGCCAACGAAGCCAGCGCTAGAGGAAGCAAGGCGGCACCGGAGGGAGCAGAGCCGCATAAGCCGATGCTTCCTCCTGTCACAGGCGGAGTGATACCAAACTCACTCCGCCTGTGAGGAATACAAGTGAAAGCGCGATTGGTTACCAAATTGCTCTTTGAAAGGTACGGCACCCCTGATTTCCCTGATCACCCTATTCTTAACTTTGCCATTTTGGATTATTTAATTTGGATTTGCATTAACTTTGGATTGTTGTACATTAAAAAAAAAATAAGACCTACCCTGAAAATAAGACCTAGTGTGTTTTTTTGAGCCAAAAAATATATAAGACAGTGTCTTATTTTCGGGGAAACACGGTAGCTACTTTAGAAATGTGAGTCAGAAGTCAAAAACAAAAGTCTGTGTATCCTAGCCTTTACAATGTTTTCAGGACCCAAATTCTAAATGCAATATTTTCTCTACCTTCCAGAGACATCAGGATAATGAAAATTAAGAAAGGAAACAGTTTTAAAGGGTACAGGCCACACCTTATTATTAACCACAAGTTCAAGATCGTAAATGCAATATTTTCTGTGTACAGTATATGAAGTATTTCTAATGCATACCTTGGGTGGTCTTACTGCATTTTGCATCTGCCCAACTGAAGCAATCCGACCAAGGCAACACACTTTGAAAGGAGGCAAACATATAATACAAGCTATATGCAATGATAACATTGTAGTAAATAGAAACTAATGTTGTGGTGAGGACCATAGTGACACCAACACCTAGAACAAAAGAAAATATGTATTTATAGAAAATTGACCAATAAAGCACAATTTGCATGTCTGCAACATTCTATCAAAAGTCACTATTCATTACCCAGAGCAATAGCATCGGTCAAAGTAAAACCAGGGAAACTGCAAAATACATGGTTGAAATATTTTTACTGTTTAACCTGCTGAAAGATTTGTAATTTTGGCCAGTCATTTTTGTGAAACACAAGTCTATGCTAGTAGTAGTAAGTAAGATTTCTTTGCTACTTCCTAGTTTTTATGTAAATAATCCACTTGAATCAATTTTTTCACACGGATTGTTGTAATTTTTACACACAGATTTGTTTATTAACACTTTAGTGTGCAGTTGGTTCACATAGACCTAGCGCAACATATTTGCTTTACATTCCTAGTTTATCAGTATTACTTTTTATGTCAGCTTGCTCCTCACTAGTAATGAGCCTGGGCTGAGTGTGAACCCATTTCGCCGGAGTTCACTCAAGCTCACTCAAAACTGTGGCTTCGAACTTCCCCTCCTTCAAGCACAATCAGTTGTGGAGAGGGGCATTCCCTGCCCTGCAGCTATACACCACAAATATATAACAAAACACTTTTAATGGTATATTTAATAATATATTTAATAGACCAAAATGGAGCACATTGAAAAGTTCATTATTAGGATTTGCATACACTTTAATACCTTCCCTGAGAAAAATGTGGGGTATGTCATTGTTGACCTCCTACTGAAAATACTAATTCTCAAGCTTTAATACTTTCAGAGTCACAGACCATGACTCATTCAGTAGTTAGTTATTCAGTTAGAAGTCTAATCTAGCACTAACTGTTATTTGTAAAATAACCCTAAAAAAATCATTATTTTCATATTTTTTGTCTGTGTGTTAGCTTTAAATAAAGAGCATGAGCAAGTTTTTTTTAAAAACAATGTGAAAAATAAATATGCTTTTAAAAAACAATATAGAAATTATTTGGTAGGCAAATCATTCAAAATGTTCTTGGCAAGTTAACTAATACATAATGCTTAATTTATTTTGGACATCTAGGCTTTTTTTTACCTCTGGTCATGAAAGAATTAAATCATTAGAGGGTTAAAAAATTAGCATTTTCTGGGCTGTGAAAAGGTATTGTATACTGGATTACTACGGTAACAATTACTCTATTAAACCTAAGAACCTAGGGACAGTGACACAATCTCGTTGCCAACTTCCTGATTCCTTCATGGAAAACAAAACTCAAGTAAGAAGCACACAGCTTACACAGCAAACACCAGCTTTCAATATCATCTATTGTCTTTAAAATGTCACCGACAAAAACAGTATTAGGGAAAATTCCAACGGCATAAAAAAAGCAACACCCATTAGAAGTTCAATTGTATTTGTGTTTTGACCCATTCAATATTTAATTCTAATTTAAAGATTTAAATTTTTAATAGTGTATGCTCACTTTCACAAATGGAATGATAGAACCTCTGGCTGTGCTTACTTTGAATACCCCGTCATGTGAAGGAAATGAAACAAAAACCAGCATTTTTGGTTGATGAAAGTGAACCAAGCTCGGAAAATATTCAGTTTGCTAAGTGAACAGTTTCTACACCAGTAAATGAACTCCAATATGTCTTAAAAGAATAAAAGTAACCAACTTATTTAAAATTGATCTAATAACAGTATTGAATACAGTAGGAATTGATTAGAATCCTTTTTTTTGCCATTTGTGTCCTATTGGAGAGATTTTCTTTCACTTCCTGACCTGTAGACACAACAGAAAGTAAAAGAAAATTTCTCCAAGTAGAGTAAAATCCCCTCTTAGATAGTTGTCACCAGAATTAGTGTCCTCAATGGAAGATTTCTCCGCACTTCCATTGTTGATGACAGATTACAACTTTGCATTTTCCTTCACTTTCAGTTCTGGTGACAATAGTCACTGAGGCAAGCAGAGAGCATGAAGCTCCCCAGCGGAGATAGACAGCATTAAAACCATAACAGATGTTCTAACTATTCAGTAATACTGATGGGTAAAGTGCAGTAACCATAGCAACTGTCCAAATATTATACTATTAAAATCAGATAAGTGAAATAGGTATTATGAATGGCTTAAACACATTACTAAACTTTGCTTTTTGCCTTTATAAATATGCCATAAATGATGCATAGTAAATACCAACTTAAATGTAACAACTGTTTTACTGTTATGAAAACAGATTCCTATCTAAATGCAATGATTTATTGAAACAAAATCAAACTAAGGTCATACAAAAAAATAAGGAAAAATCATACAAGTGTTTGTGTACCTTGCAGTAGTGGTACAAACTTCCACACGGATATAGGTCCCCGACTGGAAAATTGTCCAATGGAACATTCCAAGAAGAAAAGAGGAAGTCCGGCAAATGCAAGCATAATTGTGTAGGGTATAAGGAATGCTCCTGCAAATTGCAATAAAATTATGCATTATTACTTAACAAAAATTGACACTTGCATGGTACTCTTGTAATACAGCTGGCTATGAGTTGGCTATTAAGGCCATGATTGATTCAGCAGAATGGAAAAATAGACACACCTGCAATATATGCAATATAACCTCAAGTATAAATTTACTTCTGCTTGTTAATGTTTCAGTGAATGGAGATAGAGAACAGATGCTACCGGTATATGGTTTGTGTGGAACACTGGGTGTCGTATATACTGTAATTGTCTGAAGTAAGAATAGTTCTGATTGGCCATATAAACCATTGTGGTTTTATTTTGTTCTGTTGTCTTCCAGAACAGTGATATAGAATGAAAGGGAGAATCTGGTAAAGAAAAAATTGCCAACTGGCAGAATATCTGTGACAGAAGAGTACGTGTGTAAGTCTCTTCTGCCATAAAAGCTTTTTGCTACCATTCAGCATTGTTTTTCTTGTACACTGAGCCGTGCATTGTGAAGCTCAGTGCACAGGCTTGGAATGCACAGATGATGTAACTCCTGAGGACATTCATGGACGTTATGTCATTGGGGCCTGGCCAATCAAGCTAAAGAATTAGAACCCAGAAAAAGATCAGGGGGGAAAAGCCCCAATGAGGGAAGGGATCAGCATTGGAGGGAATCCCTTTGACAGGTAAGTCAGCCATAATGTGCTAATATGCTGTGAGTATGCATACTAGCACATTATGACTAAAAGCTGCAGCAGGTTTTCTTTTTTTACCCACCCCTCACTATACTCAGAATGTGAAAGATGCAACTTCTGATTGGACCTTTGTAAAATAGAATCATATGTGGTCTTACAATCACTTTCAAGAGTTTTGAAATATATCATTAATTTTAAAGATATTGCTCTCAATTACAATTGAAAATATAATTTAATTATATTTAAATTTTTTTAATGTATCTAAATCCCAAAACAAATTAATTCACCTATTCACCTATCCCTATGCTGACTTACACTGTAAGAACTATGAAGGACTGGTCAGCAGGATTGTGGAAGGTGTATATGTGTCACCCATATTTCTTACCATACACATGGTAAGGGGCTTCAGGGTTTGTGTCTGCTATGGAGGAAACAAACTTGTTTTTTTTAGATCATAATAGGTACCAGTCTGGGTCCTGTAGCCCGGAGATTATTTAGAGCATTTGGTGGGATAAAGCATCCAGTCCTAAATCCATGTCCTACCTGTTAGCCAGTCCTCATTATTAGTTCTATCGCTGCACAAGCCTTTTTTATATCTGAGGTAACCTATTCTAGAGGCTTACTCTTACTCTTTCTGCTGAGAGAGCCAGCTGCTGGGTGGAAAGGCTGACTGCTGACAGAACACCAGAAGGTACCAGAGCTGCCTGTTTCTTTTAGGGAAGCCATAAGGGGCAACCTGTTGGACTATTCCTAGTTGTCCCTGTCTTGTGCTTGGTGTACTGCTGCCAATACCAGTTCAGCCTGCCCCCATTACAGTACATATATGTTTGTCAAATACTCTTCCTTTATTCCTTTCTTTTCATGTAACATCTCCTTTGTTTTTAGTGATTGATGTTAAAGTTAAACTGGACACAAACCCTAAATAAATATGGCATTTTAAAAATATAAAATACGTTTTCCCATATGAGTGCTGCTGATTTCCTGCATCCCTTTCCTGTCCACGTGAGTGCATTCCAGCAATGGCAGCATGAAATTTCTCATGGCAGATTTTCTAATGGTGACAAAAGTGGGCAATGCCTATATAACATGTCACTTGAACTGCCAAGGGCCACTTGAAGTCTTTATTGAAAACCCATGTGACAGGAAGTCAACACTGAAGCACAGCTGGAGGACAGGGACATAACGTAATCACCCTATAACAGGAAGGTCCTGAACAATGATTTGCATTGCGGGATCACCTGGTATTGTTTGAATGAAGGCTGCAGATTTAAAACTTTGAATATGACTTTTGAAATTACATTAACATGTTAAATCTTATATTAGATGTTTGTGATTAAGTTTACACATACTTAAATTTAACTTAATTTCCACTTTCCTCATGAATGGATAGTCTAGGTCAGGGATGTCCAAACTGCGGCCCTCCAGCTGTGGTGGAACTACAAATCCCATGAGGCTTTGCAAGTTTCTCACAGCCACAGGCATGACTCCGGAGAGAGATGCTTCATGGGATTTGTAGTTTCACCACAGCTGGAGGGCCGGAGTTTGGACATCCCTGGTCTAGGTGAATATTCTCTTCTCCTTTAGTAAATCAGTGCCAGGTATAAATCCAGCCTGAACGTTGATTGGTTGCTTTGGGCTATTGCACTTTTATTACTTTAAAATCAGTTATAATGGTTGATTATTTTAGATTTGCACCTTCCTTTCCACAGTATTGGATTACACGCCGACAACAGTCTCTTGATCATCCAATACACATGCTTTAAACACATGTTAGTTTATTACTACATTACTTATTATACTTGAATGTGGTTTGTGTGCTGATAAAGTTCAGAGACCTTTGCTTTAAGGAAAGTGTATGCCATTTTCACATTCTCTCATTTACTTCCTCATACATCAAGGTACCAAGTGTTTGTTGCATGGAAGGGAAATCACAGAATTTATGGACATCACACGTACCATACTTATTGCCAGTATTGATTCATGAAATCCCTTGTTCTAGAGAAGAATGTAAGGTGTGTGTGAAACCTGAGCACTGCTAGAAGTGTACCCTGGGCAGGATATTAAAAGTGGAGTAATGACGATACTAAGGCTTTACAGCCAGTTACAGCAATTGTTCTTGGATTTATTAGTCTGCACTAATAGTCCCAGACTTTATTATGAACATAATGCTGTATATATTATGTGTGATTGTGTATTGTGAAAGATTAAATAAACATGTCTTGTCTTGTCACTGATTAACTGGCCATTGAATAAATACACAATCTGCTACATATTTCTCAGACGTGGAACACTTCAGTTAGGACTGACTTAAATTCCCTGAGAAAGGCAATGAAAGCTCATGAGGGGGTAATCGATCAAGTGTATAGGTTATGGCTATCATAATAGTTGCTGGAAACATTTATTACTATGAGGCTGGACATATAAAAGCAAATCAACAACACAAGGTCAGCAGTCTGGTATCACCGTTAAAATTGTAGAAAGGCCAAAACACCTTTTAATCCTGTATTTGTGACTGTTGTTTAAAAACTGCAAAAGGACCTAAGATCACCATGACAGTTTGCAAATCTTGATTGATTTAAGTTGCATATCACGGATTGGAAATGTGCTTTTTTATGTAGCGTTTCTTAAGTTCTGCTTCCAAAAGGTGCCTGAAGAGGCGATGAGAAGATTAAAAGGGTAAAAGTGGGAGGTCCACGCTGATAGCCATCTTGCTGGAAACCAGTTCCAAAGATATGATCTCTGGAAGCACACTTTAAGCGGTCATTTTGAGGACATTATTGGACAAAAATCAATCTAATATTCCCATGTGTTTAAAATAAAGCTTATGATTTGTCTGTATGAAAATTAAACCAATGCATTGATTTGACTGATGACAGTTTATTTCCTTTTTTGTAAGGTCAATGAAGTTCATGTTTTACCTCCTCCATTCTTGTATGCAAGGTAGGGAAACCTCCACACATTCCCCAAACCCACAGCGTATCCAATCATGGAGAGTAAATAGTCTGATTTTCTGGACCAATTACCCCTTTCCGTGTTTTCATCATTAGAATCCACATGAGAGTCCTAGAGAAAAAAATGTTAAATCAAAGTCACATTAAAGAGTTCAGCATAATACAGCAGTTTTACACCGTGTGATTGTATGACCAACTTCTCACACTTAGCATTTTTCAATTTTTCAAACCTACATTCTACACATTAGGGTGCTAAGGACCATAGATACACAACAGACACACTATCAGTGCGAAGATAAAGTGCAAAGTGTAGAACACACAGTAACCAAATCAGGAGTAGTCAAACAATTTGTTCAGACTTTAAAGCTACACAAGTGCCTTCTGGAACTAAGAGGGTTATTCACAAAGCTGCCTAAGGCAGCCGAGTGAATAACCGACCCGAAGTTAAGAGAGCCGAACGTTGTTCGGGTATTCATTTCAGGCTTGTACGGCTGATTTCAGCCGTACATCGGCTGAAATCAACCGTGCATCAGCTTGCATCGGCTGGCTTCGGTTCGGCCGAACATGCTCAGCCCACTGCTGCTGTCAATCAGCAGAGGGGACCTGAAGTTCTCCATCAGGTCCCCTTCTAGTGATTGACAGCAGCAGAGGGGGGTGCAATAGCTAGTTTTTTTTTTTATTCTGACGGCAGAAGAACCACCCGGCCAATAGAAAACAGTTGGGGCGAAGCAGGCTGTCACTGCTAGCTCCGCCCAATCATTTTCTATTTTATTTTTTCTACTTTTTTAACTATTTTTCTATTCTGCTCGATACCACAGAGGTACCGAGCAGAAAAGCGAGCCGAATGCCGGCCCGAAGCCAGCCGCAGCAAGCCGATGTACGGCTGATTTTAGTCGGTGTCTGGCTGAAATCAGCCGTACAAGCCTGAAGTGAATAGCCGAACAGCGTTCGGCTCACTTCACTTGGGGTCGGTTATTCACTCGGCTGCCTACGGCAGCTTTGTGAATAGACCCCATAATGATACCTGTTATTATGCACATATAGTTAATCGCCCTAGACCATCCACCTTTGATTGGTTATTGTATATAACAGTAGAAGATCAAATTATAAAAGTTTTTGTTTTTTTAAATATACATGCTTATTGGTGTTGGTACCTCAAATGCCCATTATTATTTATTTTGTATTTGGACATGACATTATCTTTTGGGATGTGCTACACCCATTTATCCCCTATCGGGTATTAGTCAGGTATATGCAATGGTTAAAAGCTCGTCAGATTTGTTTTAAGTTTGCCTTTTGTGTACCATTAGGTAGATTTATTTTCCTGTCCCAGAAATGCAACCGGAAGAAAAACAAAAATTGCTCCAAAGTGAGAGTAACCAGAACAGGTTTCCCCATCGGAAGACTTACCTTCACCTCTTGTTCTAGTATCAATGCTAAAATGTTGGTTTCCCCTTACTTTCTGTTTGGGTGACATTAGTCACCAGGACAGATAGAGTTGTGGAGATACAGACAGCAATACAAAATTGAGTCATCCAAAAATTACTTTACAGTAATAAATGTAATAATAAATCAAAATGTTTTCTCACTGAAAGTACACAATACTTTTTCTTTAAAGGGTAAAGTATAATTATGGCCTACCGTTAAAAATGAAAATATGTTCTGCAGCACTTAATTATAAGTGCACCTGCAGTCCAGTCGAACGGGTATGTATAACACAAATAAGGAGGATTTGGCTCACAGAAGGTAAAGCAAGTTTTTTGTTTACTTTATAAAGCTTGTTCATTTCATAGAGCCTGGATTGGGAACTTGTTGGGAACTTATGAACTTGAGTATCATAACACAATACACAGAGTAACACAAGACGTCGTTCGTTACAGGTTAGTGGTTAAAACAGGAAACTCAAAACAAATAACTATTAATTGCCAGGAATATGTTATTAAAGTATATAAAGCAAGGCTAGTCAAGAATGTTTAAGTGATAACATTACGTTGCTCTCAAATCATACAGAGTTAAATATAAATGCAAAACTATACACTGGAACAGAAAGAATAACAATTACTTTTCTAAATGGATTGTGCACTGAAAGACATTCAGGTCATTTGAATTGTTGCAAGAAAAAAACATGAAGTGAAACAGTTTAATAGCACATGCAGGAAGTGGGAAGATAACTGTGGATGGCGGTTTAATAGCAGCTAATAAGCAGGGTGACCCCTATTTAAAGATGTTGGGGTTGATTTACCAAAGGAGTAGAGCATGTTAACTTTACAAAGTGAATTTTCACCAAGCTTAGTGAATAAGGTGAAACTAAGGGAATATTCATCTTGCAAAGAATACCCAATCATGTGCAAAGTAAATTTAAAAAAATACTGACACACTGTTGGATCATTGAAGTCAGCACAGCTTTTCCTCTTTTCCTTTCTTTTCATTTGCAAAATGAGCAAGCTCTACTTATTTAGTACATTTATCTTGCAGAGAATACCCAATCATGTGCAAGGGAAAATAAAATAAAATAAAAGTTTTTAAGGGTTAAGTGCTTGTTTTGTCTAAGGGGTGAAATTAAGAAAAAATACTCACCTGATTCTTGGTCCTGAATGGTCCCCACAGCCTCTTCTCCCCTTGGCTCTGGTGGTCATTGTGACGGACTGCACCGTCACTGTGCTAGTTGGAGGTGGCTGCAGACTGGCCTCTTACCCACCGATTATGGCCCAGCAAGAGAACAGGAGATTTTGGGGCTAAATGTACATTTTATATGCAGACAGTGACTGTTACCCTCTGGGAAATATATGTTTTAAAATGGTGGAGGACAAGGACTTGGCCACATGGTTTGTCTATTCAAAATGGAGACTTAATTAAGTTAAGTCAGTTGTATAGAAGTTGCATAGCTCCGCCCCCTCACCTGTTATCTGATGCTCACCCCATTGTACTGTGACTGTGTATGTAAATGTCAGATTCCCTGTGTAAGCTGTTATCTGTGTTTGTCATGAGGGGGAAGGAGGGGGAGGGGTTGTAGCCCTCCCAGTGTCTCAAAAGTGAATGTCCTTTGTTTAATAAAGGAGTTGCTCTTTCTATGTTGAACCTTCAACAAGAGTTTTGCCTCGTGATTGGGGGTTAGGGGCTGGTTACTGCAAATCCGCTGGCTGAGAGTGGGGTTTGGCGGGCAGGATACGCTCTTTGGCGGAGGTACCCAGTCGGGGTACCAGGCGGTCCGTCACAGTCATCACATCTAATAGACTGCATTAAGGTGCCCATACACCTTACAACCATAGCACGACTTTCATTGTGCAATAGTTGTAAGGTCATTCAAATTTTGTATGATCTGCCCATCTTGGACAGGCAGATCGTACTTGCGATCATCGCAAGCCCTCACTGCTGAGAGGAGAGCTTCCGATGATTGCAGTGTTGAGCGGGCAGTGTGCGCTTGCGCACACCGGCCCATGCGGCATTCGTCTTCCGACCACGCCACCAACCTGCCGAAAATCGTACGATTTTCAGAGGGTTTTCAAGCATGCTCATAAGAGGAAAATCGTATGACCTTACAGTAGAAGCGGTCGCACGCTGCCCATACACCCGCCAATGTTGAGGGGATGAGAGATGAGCAGTCACTGCCTCAGGACCGAGAATCAAGTGAGTATTTCTTCTTTATTTTCGTCCCTAGACCAAAACAAGCACTTAACCTTTGAAGTACAAGGGTAGCCCCACTGCAGGGGTCAATTTGAAAAAATCCTGTTGTTTCTATTTAAATGTTTTCGATAATATTTTTAAGTGACTAAAAGAAATAAAACAAAAGAAGTTCATTGTTATCTTTAAATGCCTTCAATAGTATATTTAAGAAACTAAAAAGGACCAATCAAAGGAAGTTCATTGTTATATTTTATATACTCTTTAGTGAGTGTTACCTGGGTGCTCAAGGTTAGAGGACAGATTCTACTTTACATTTTATACACGCTTTTTATTTTTATTTTGCAACAAAGATTACCGGTATCTTCAGAATTCTTCTTTAAATACCTATTTGATTAGTGCTACTATCTTAGTTACACAAAGTCTCTAAGTATAACTCAATATTTCCAGAAAATGTTAATGCAAGAGAATGCATATAAGTATATATATATATATATTGTGGTATTGTGTGGCAATCCCACTGTAGAATTGGATGTGATGATCACCTGGGACTCTCAGCCAGATGGGCTGAGACGTTTCAGGAAGCAAGGGATTGTCTGGATTTTGCTTGGGATCCTGGAACTGGGAGGTTTCAAGGTGATTCTGGAGGAAAGATGAGATCCCTAGTCCTAGGTCCAGGCTTAGGAGTTCTCTGCAAACATCTGCAAAATATGTTAAGTGTGTGAGAATTATTAAAATGAGAGTTATTAAAACAACTTCAGGTTAAAAGGAAAACTTTTGTAAAGTTATATCTGTTAAGGCAGCATGACACAGTAAAGGCATGGACTAAAAGATGTGAAAAATTCCTTCTTTTTCTCCTGTATATTTTCACCCTGGTACCCCAGGGGACCCCAAACCTGGGTGCTCTGAACGCAAAAGTGTTCTTTATTTCTAAGCTGGCGCTTTCTAATAACACCAGTGCTATATTCGTGGCTTGCTGAAGGTAAAAAAGGGGTGTGTATTGCTAAGGGATATGGGTAGCACAATATCCCCAAGCGCTGACTTGGAGCAACATCATCTTACTGAGTTTATGTGTTTTCAGGACTCTCAGGATGGTCAGCAAAAGATTCAGGGTAAAAAAAGGCATGATCCATCATCTACTGCCCCCTGCTTTTATTGCAACGTGCTGCTGTTACATGTCTAACTGCATGACAGGTTTACTTTAAATAATGGCACTAAAAAATATTTGCGAACTGAGAAGACATTGCAGAATATGACAGCTTGTCAATGAACAATACTGATTTAAGACGCTCTAGAAGCTAAGAAGCTCTAACATACACTATGGGGTATACAACTTAAAAAAAGAAATTAACTCTAAAGAGCCAGTGCAGTCCAACACCTTGAAATTAAACTGACCAATATTTCTTTTAAGATTGCTGATTATATTACCATTATGCACACATCTTGAAATAATGCCACTGTTTAGCATAACTACAATTATTTGAACAACAATTTTATTATTTTATAAAGCAAAAAGTTGACAGTGTGAAATGACCTATTTTATAAAGCAAAAAGGTGACAGTGTGAAATGACCTATGATAACAATCTGAATTCACCTCTCCCAAACAGCAAGAACAATAAGAATTGCTTTTTTTCTAGATAGCTCTGCGTTGCTGCATTTTTTTCAGCAGTTTTTTTGCTTTATTATACAAAGATTTTGCAGCATATTTTGCTTTTAGTTAGATCGTCATTACTTAAACATACTTAAATTCCTTTTAACAAGTTAACAATTGACAGAATCCAGGGTATGTGCAAACATTTTAGCTACATAATTGTTTTTGTTAGCACTCACCTTTTTTACACTGGATGAATCTTTCTTGAACTTTAAAACTTCTTTCAAACCCATAATGTTGGCTTCAAGTTCAATTCTTTCAAATAGATCTCCCTTGTTCTGTAGACATAGGAGTTCCTCTTCAGTTGTACAGGACCACACTGCTCAGGTACACTGTGAAATCCTTTATTATTTTACTATGCCTCTCAGGTAATGTTTCCTTTATCCTGGTAGGTGTGTGATTAGTAACTAGCACCTCCCGTGGCTGTCACTTATTGGAACTCAGTCAATGAAAAACAGGACAGCGCTTAAAACAAAGGCTCTGACTATCAAATAACTCTTTAATGTAGACAGCCAATGCAGATTTAAAAATAAGTTTTGCTTCTTTGCCCAAAACTTGTATTTAAATCTTCAAAAGACTGCCCAGGCTTTCTTTACATTTAGGCTGTCCTTGCTAGCATCTTTATTGACCAGTTGGTCTTCTCACCTCTGAATGCAGTCAGCTGAGAAGCCATTATTTGAGTCCATCCAAAACTTTGCTATTTCCATTCAGCCCTGATGAAGGGGAAATTGTGGCCCTCAAAATGCATGGGCTTCTGTTGTTTTTGCTGTCATCAGTTGAGTGATGAAAAGATTTTGGACACTAAACCTTTCTTAGTCTGGCGCTCTCATTCTATCCGTTACATTTGGGAATTTATTATTGTCACATTATCATATGTAAATTCATAGGGGTTGATTTACTGAAGGAGTAGAAAACATTCAATTTGCAAAATAAAAATTAACTTGACTTAGTGAATAAGGTAAGGTTATGCTTATTTAAATATGATATCCAATCACATTTAAAGGAATGAAAAAACAGAGACATGCTTACATGTTATTGGATGATAAAGTGACCACAGCTTAACCGTATTCAGTTTGCAAACATTATCTACCCATAATGTAAAATACTGAAGCTGATTTACCGAAGCGGTAGAGAATATTTAGGGGTCTATTCACTAAGCTGCCGAAGGATCTAGCCGTAGCTTCGGCTGATCCTTTGGCTGGCTTCGGCCCCAGGACCCCTTCGGTTCGGTAGAACCGAAGGGCTGCTGTACGGGCTATTCACTGTAGCCCGTACAGTTCCCGAAGTTGTCCGAGTGGCTCAGTCGAGCTGAAGGCATATGCCTTGGCTCGACCGAGCCGAGGTGAAAGCCGAAGCTGGCCGAGCAGCCGGCCGACAGCCTGCTTCTGACAGCTGGGCAGAGCCAGCCGTTATCTTACGGAGAAATCAGCGTCCCTGGTTACCGGGTAACTAGGGACGTTGTCATTACACACTGACAACCCGGCCGGGCCGCTATGATATCACAATGGCCTCTCCGTGTTCTCAGTGTATAATGACAGATGGCGTTCCTGGTTATAATACGGTCCTGGTCTAATACGGCTCCTGGCCTTGAACCGAAGGGTCCTGGGGCCGAAGCTAGCCGAAGGATCGGCCGAAGCTATGGCCATATCCTTCAGCAGCTTTGTGAATAGACCCCTTAGTTTATTTAAAAAATTCTACTATTGTTGATTGTATTGGACTGTTTTCATGCTGCTTTACAAATGGTTGACTTTAACGCTCCAGAGCAAATTTCTAATGGATATACTTTTTTATATTTTTCTATTAAAGTCACTTAGATATGTGGATTTGATCTTAGTGAATGCTACATTCTATATCTTCACTTACACACAAGGAATTACACAAAAACATATTATTTATTTTGTAAAATGCACACATAGCCAGTTTTCTATTTGTTTCCTCACTGGGGAATTTTATGAAGAGGGTTATTCACAAAGCTAGCCGAAGGATCAGCCAAAGCTCTGGCTGATCCTTTGGCTAGCTTCGGCCGCCGGAGCCCTTCGGTTCAGTCGAACCGAACGGCTGCTGTACGGGCTATGCACTATAGCCCGTACAGCTCCCAAAGCTGGCCGAGCGGCTCGACTGAGCCAAAGTGAAACCCGAAGCGGGCCGAAAGCCTTGCAACTGACAGCTGGGCGGAGCCAGCCATGATCTCTGCTCGGCTGGCTCTGTCCAGTTGCAATGACAGATCAGTGTCCCCAGGTTACCTCGGGACTGTCAGAGACCTGCTGCTTCTGCGCATGCGCAAGCCGGGGTTCCCGTAATGGTCGGGACCTGCTAGAAGACTCTAGCAGGTCCCGGCCAATAGGAAACAGTTGGGTGGAGCTAGCTGTCATTGCTAGCTCTGCCCAATTGTTTCTTTCTTTTTTTTAAATTAATTAATTTTTTTTAATGATTTTTTTTTAATGTTTATTAAGATTTGTCATTTATTTACCTTTTTAAACATTCTTTTTCTTTTCTACTTTTTAAACTGTTTTGCTATTCTGCTTGGTACCACGGAGGTACCGAGCAGAATAGTTGATCTGAATGCTATCATTAGATACGTAAAAAGAATAAAGCTAGATTTCAGGAATATTGTGCTTTTGAATTCTAACAGAGGGGGGATTGGCGCTTCAGGCACAGGCACCATGGAACATTTGGGAGGTTACAATTGCTGCCTACTAAAGTAATTTCTCTAATTTCCTGATTTCCACGGTGTCACCAGCATAGGATATGATTAGGGACGAGCAAAGTGATTTTAGCAAAACTGATACTGTAATGAAAAATGAAATGAAAATGTCACAAACAGAATTTTGCTCATTGAATTGCTAAGGTAAAAGGTGAGAAGTGCTAAGGTGCTGTTTTTTTTCTTTACTTGAAATGTGATTTTGGAGGACAATGTATTCAGGCCCGTTTAGTGAATATTTAATATAATGTTGTTTTTTTTTATTATTATTTGTGTAAGGCTGCTTTAAATTTATTTTACTTTTTATCATTATTTGTGTTTTCTTTCCCTGAAAAAAAGTTAAGAATAAAAGTAAAAAAGGGCCATGTTTGGCACAAGAACAGATCCAACATAGTTTAAAATATCTTACATAACCCTCAGGAGCTATTTAACCTCTTGCCGTCCGCCCGTAGTAGAAAAACGGATGGACGGCACTGCTGCATTGGCGGGTTGCCGTCGACAGACGGCATTTTCTTTCTTTAAATGTTTTATCATTTAATATAGGGGAAACTGTTTTTTTTTTTAATTTCGGTGATTTTTCCTTAATATAGTAAAAAAATAAAAACCCCAGTGGTGAATAAATACCACCAAAAGAAAGCTCTATCTGTCCCCAAAAAAGGGTATAAAATTAATTTCAGTACAGCGCTGCATGACGGAATAAATGTCAGTCAAAGTACCGCAGCGCTGAATACTGAAAAATGGCCTGGATGGGAAGGGGGTTTAACACTGCGCATGTCAACTGGTTAAAGCCCACTACAAGCTTAAAAATCACAAAAAAATATTTTAATGAAAGCTCTCAATTACACTCATCCCTAGAAATGATCAGGAATTTCTCCAGTAGCGGAACAATTCATTTTTGTTAGTAGAGTGGGGAAGGTTAGAACCTCTGCCAGACTTTAATTTCTTCCTGTGTATTCCTGTCCTGGTGACTCCTATTCCCCACAGGTGTCATAAGAACAGAAAGTGAAGGCAGATCTCCCCAATAAAGTCAAAAGCAATAATTAAAAACTGTCATAATGTCCTTTTCTTACTCATTTTATACAAAACAAATAATAGGTTAGGCTGGAGTTGGCATAAATCTGACCGGTCACTATGAGTTACAGAATTTCAAACATATTTATTGCAATATGCAAAACAATGGTAAATAGGCCAGCATATCTGAGATACATATCTTACATACATAACATAGATACAACCAAGTAAAACAACATGATTACTTTTTTATATTTATAGAATTTAATTTAAAAAAAAATCACATGTACATGTGTTAAAAAAATATTTTGAAGAGAAGTCCTTAAAAAAGAGATCGGTGTAGAAAGCTGCAGCAAGTACAAGGCCAAACTATACACCTCTTCATATGCTTAGGTTTCATTTACACTTGCCACTTGTGTTTCTGTCCGCTCTATGCAGAGGAAAATCTGTCAGGCTAGATGCTGTGTCTATGCTTCTAGATGCTTTAAATGATGCATGTTCGCATGTGTTTACATGCATATGCATTTAGCTGCATCTGGTACCAAATTCTAGGATCAAAACGCGTTTGCACGTGTTTGCATGTGCTTTGGTATTTTTACATGTGTTTGTGTGGAAAGAAGTTCACATCAGTTCCTAGATCCACCTGCCTTCTATTTGTTAACTTTAAAGCGCAGATAAACTGACTACAGATAAAAGCTTTGAAATGCAAGATGTGAATATACCGATTGGAAATCATTAGATGCATATATATATGCATTTACAAAAGCTTTTAAAATACATATTAAAAGCATCTAATCGCACACAGCGTGAATGAAGGCTAATCCTTACATTTTAGGAAGCTCACTAGCACTAGCATTTTAGAAAACTCACTAGCACTTAAACATAATGGAATTTGAACCTCTCCTCATCCAGCTTTCTCTTTTTTGTGGACGCCCCTTTAAATTTTAGTTTGGTAAATAATTCTAAATATTACAAACGGAAAATTATAAAGTGTTCATTAAAAGTGGAAAAAGGAAATGTAAACATACTATTTATTCTTTTGCATTATGTTATCTAAAAAAGGCACCATGTTGCTTGGTTCTGTCCAAGCCAATATAAAACTACAGTACCTATCCACTGGATTTAAGAAAGTTGCTGTTTTTCAGCAATATTTGTACAATTTTTGGAGAACAGCGATGATGTCACTGCATCAAATACTTTACATAATTATTACAAAAAATAAAGTATCATTTAAATTACTATGAAATTAAGATCTGAATCTATGTATGTGTGTGAAAGTACAGTATTTCACAAATGTGCAGGTGAATGAGCACCAGCAGAAATTTTGGCCCTTACAATATATGTACATTGGTACTGTCCTATGATAATTCATCATTTTCTTAGCTTTAGTGGAGAAAACAGAGACTATCATCATAAATGATGGCAGGCGCCACAAGGAACACAGCAGTGATGGCTAGATCCCAGGGGCCCTTCTGCCAGGCAAAGCTTCAACGCTTTTGGGTAGCGCCAAAGCTTGTCTGACCTTTCCTGCCTGTATGAATAAAAATGATGCTAACATTGTTGATCGGTGGCAGATGATCAGATATTGGCATCACAGAACAAGTTTTCAGTTTGATACAATAAAATAACAATTGACTTTAAAACAAAATCCTTATTCAATGCATTTGGCATTTAACAGCAATTTGCCAGGTTTATTCAATAGCATTGCAAAGAAAAATGATGATGTGCACAGTGCAACAACCCAATGACATTTACTAATGTTAGTAGAATAAACTGCAATCGCCCACTTTGGTTTATTGTACTTTGCACCTCATCATTGCTCTGCCTCACTGAATATACAGTACATATACTGAGGCCTAAACTGTCATATATATTGTGCCAATAGACAAATGGAAGGCTGCAGGCTTCTTTGAACATGTACATACAAGATTCTATTGCCTCTGCATGTGTAATTATGTAATTATAAGGTATAATAAAATCATTGGGGTCTATTCACTAAGCTGCTGTAGGCAGCCGAGTGAAAGACCGACCTGAAGTGAAGTGAGCCGAACGCTGTTCGGCTATTCACTTCAGGCTGGTACGGCTGATTTCAGCTGTATATCAGCCGAAATGAAAAGTACATCGGGTGGCTTCACGTGGCTTTGGGTCGGCCGAACATGCTGAACTCGCCCTCTGCTGCAGTTCTCGCTGATCTCTCTGAAAGTGGCCGGAGCCAGCCGTAAGATTACGGCTGGCTCTGCCCAGCTGTCAGAAGCAGGCTGTCAGCTTCGGCTTTCAGCACGGCTCAGCCGAGCCGAGGCATATGCCTTCGGCTCGACTGAGCCGCATGGCTAAGTGCGGGAGCTGTACGGGCTATTGTGAATAGCCCGTACAGCTGCCCTTCGGTTCTACTGAACTGAAGGGGTCCTGGGTCCGAAGCTAGCCGAAGGATCGGCCGAAGCTACGGCTAGATCCTTCGGCGGCTTCATGAATAGACCCCATTATGTTTCTAAAAATGTATAAATAAAACTTTTAAAAACAAAACTAGAATTAGATGAATATAAACATTCCAGGTCCTGTGGACATATTAAAATAGTCTTTGTTGAAAATAAAATCACATAGTAGCCAAAGCTACTTGCAGCATTTAGTTTCCATTCTTGGTTTTTCTTTTTAGTAAGTTTAGGAAAAAGCTTTGTTGTCATATCCAGACAATCCTCCTTCGATTGTAGGAATTTCCAAATTGTCACTTTTCTGGATTCTAGTTGTGTCTTTGTATCTTCCAGTGCGATGCTGCTCCAGAGCAGGACCCCAGTCTTCTGTTGGGGAGCAGATCTTCCAAAAACGCTAATGGACAATAGAGTCATAATTTTAAGATTGAAGGAAAGGAGAGAAAGGGAAAGTAGAAGAGGAAGGAAGGAAGGAAGGTAGGAAGGAAAGAATGTAAGAAAGAAACAAAGAAGGAATTCTTTGTTTCTGAAAGCTCATCTAAATTTTTAGGGTGAATAAACATGACTTGGGTATAAAGGCTTAATAGATCTAACAAAAACCTACTTACCTCCCGAAGAGATCCACGACCCTTACATATCTTTACAATTGCTAATATTGGTATCCAAATGATGCAGAAAACGATCATACACCAGCCCAAGACAACTCCCCAGACTGGATATTCAACATCACCATGCTTTGGAGAATCAAAAGTAACCAAGGACCAGACTAAAATAGACTGTGAAGCAAACAAGAAACAAGAGTATTCTTAGTATCCTAAGTATCATTGGGATATGTTAATGCAACTATTACAAAATGGAGCGCAGTTAAAGCAGAGATCCAGGCAACATTTTCACTAATCCTTGCAGTAGGGCAACTGCTCATTTGTGTCTAGGGACTAACATAAAAAAGTTATGCTCACTCAAACCCCAGAGCCGGCTTGCTCTTTGACCAGTCCTTCCAGCTGCGCTCCCCCTCTGCTGCAGCAGTCTAAGGAGTCTAAGCATAATGTGTATGCCATTGCTGCTGCATAGGGAGGAGAGAGGCTGGAGGGAACGCTGTGACCGCTGGTCAGCTCTGAGGTTTAGGTGAATATAACTTTTTTATTTTAGTGCCTAGACACAAACAATCAGTTAACCCATGCAGCCCCACTGCAAGGGTTAATAAAAATGTTGCCTGTAGTTCTTTCATTCTTGCTGACTGTATATGTTCACTTCAAACATCCAACCATGTGCAGAAGTCCTTTTGTATATGTATCGATAAGAGGAAATAAAATACAGTGCATAAAGGACCTTATTTATGCAGACAAATTGATCGTTTTAGGAGCAAAGGTATTTCAGGAGTATTATAATCATTATGTATAAATATATAAATGGCCCATATGAAAAGTTAAAAAAAATAGGAGTATTATAATCATTATGTATAAATATATAAATGACACATATGAAAAGTAAAAAAAAAACCTAAAATTTAAAGTTATAAAAAAAAAAAAAGGAAAGCAGTTATTTATGGATCAAACTGTACTTTATTAGTAAATTCCTCTAACCCTGCCTACCACCCCGTACCCCAACCCACCTAACCTGCACCAGTACCTCCAATCCCACCTTCTGTACCAGTGCTACATTCTCGCAATGTTTCTTATCTGCTGGCAATGTTTCTTCTCTTGGTGCTGTCTGTAACTGAGGACTGAGCCTTCATAGACTTGAATGGGGCCACCCAGAAAGCAACTACAGCGTCCAGGATGGCCCTATACAAGTCCATTAGGGCTGAGTGTGCAGGCCTGTCTGATGCCAAAAAGGACTTTGAACTGGAGGAGAAGTAAACATTGCAAGGGCACAGCACAGATGAGATAGATGATCACACTTACCATTAGCAGAAGGGGAGTTACAAAAAACCAGCAGATTCTCCACCATAACCAGAATGGCCAACCCTTTTTCCCAATCATCATTTCAATGTCTTCGATGAAGCGATTTCCCCCTTTACAAGGCACAAGAGAACAAGTACTTATAAACACTGTAATAGGATTCTGTCATTTTCCCCACAATATACATGGTATAGCAGAGATTATATAGAGGGCATATAGACCATTACAAAAACATTTTTTTTTGCGTGTTAAATCAACAGGGCACATAAAAATAGTGTCTGGTATATATATATTTATTTTTTTCATTCAACTCGTGGGCCGAAGTAAAAAAACCAGAAAAGATTCCTTCATTGACACTTACAAACATTGATGGACGAATCCCCTGCTGTTTGCATTGTATGACATTTGTACCGGGTGTACCATACTTAAAGGAGAACTATGAGGCAAGTGAAAATCAGTCAGCCTCATAGTTCGAGCCGACGTGCAACTGTCACACATCGACATGCAGCTGGGTGGATCTAGACTAGGGCACAGCACAGATGAGATAGATGATCACACTTACCATTAGCAGAAGGGGAGTTACAAAAAACCAGCAGATTCTCCACCATAACCAGAATGGCCAACCCTTTTTCCCAATCATCATTTCAATGTCTTCGATGAAGCGATTTCCCCCTTTACAAGGCACAAGAGAACAAGTACTTATAAACACTGTAATAGGATTCTGTCATTTTCCCCACAATATACATGGTATAGCAGAGATTATATAGAGGGCATATAGACCATTACAAAAACATTTTTTTTTGCGTGTTAAATCAACAGGGCACATAAAAATAGTGTCTGGTATATATATATTTATTTTTTTCATTCAACTCGTGGGCCGAAGTAAAAAAACCAGAAAAGATTCCTTCATTGACACTTACAAACATTGATGGACGAATCCCCTGCTGTTTGCATTGTATGACATTTGTACCGGGTGTACCATACTTAAAGGAGAACTATGAGGCAAGTGAAAATCAGTCAGCCTCATAGTTCGAGCCGACGTGCAACTGTCACACATCGACATGCAGCTGGGTGGATCCAGACAGTATTGTCGGGATCCGTCCCGGCTGTGGCGTCTGAGTATATATATATATATACTGAGCTTTGGGTGACGGGAGGACGCCAGTTTGTGTCCTCCCGTTACCCTTAGGAGAATTATGGGGAAAAGCACTGACCCCATAGTTCTCCTTTAATTCAAAGCAACCATGGCAGAATAGGAGAAATCATGCCAACATAGACATATGGAATGTGGAATGCAAAACGTATGCCATGAAGAAAGGAAAAAAAGTGTATATTGGTCCTAAAAACTGATTAGTACATATAATATATTCTACATATATATATTACAGTATTTATTTCAGATGGAACGTCTTACCATAAATCCAGCAAATTCCAACAATTTCAAGAATAGCAGCAATAAGTATTCCCCATCCAGCGCAGAAATAATCAATTAGATCCACCCAATAGATCCCTGCCTGTAAAATGAGTGTGAATTACTATGTATACCAGTTATGGACCATGCTCTATATTTTATAAATGTAAAAGAAAGTTCCACTTTCATTGAATACTCTATACTGTATTGATACACAATTAATTTTCTGTTCATATTTAATTGAAACCTTTTCCCTTAAATCTGCCGCTTAAATCTGTTTTTTTTTTAAAAAACAGCCAAAAAAGAAAAATGCTACTTCCTGGCAAGCACGGGAACTGAGGACATCCTCTACATTGTTTACAGAAAGAAGACCCTCAGAAGTCAAATTACAGACACCCCATTTCATTTTAGGTATGATATTTTCAAGGATTCTTTCAGGCTAATAGGATGCAGAGGATGCTACTTTTGTTTTTTCAATGCTAAAACAGATCAGGTGGGTGTAATATACATAGAACCTCCCTCCTATTATTCAGCTTAAAAGCTATAAATCTCTTAAAAGGGTTTATTACAGTATTTGCAATGCGTACAGTTCTTCTGAAAGGTTAAGATTCACTCTACAGGACACAAAAAAAATAATATTAAAGCAAAGCAATTTCTTTTATTTTATTTTACACCTTGACCACAAGGGGGTACTCCACAGCTATAGATTTACTAAAATCATGTTTTAATTTCAGATCAAGCAGATATACATATTTGTTCTGTTATCCTCTAAATCAACACTTCTAGAATTGCAAAAGGTTGAATTTGATAGACCGGTTTCTTTTGCCATTCTATTTGCTCGGCTGATGTCTTGGTCGTTGGGTTCGGTTGGGTTCGGCTAATGGTTCGGCTGCTTTCGCGGGCTGTACGGGCTTTTGTGAATAGCCCGTACAGCACCCCCTCGGTTCTCCTGAACCGAAGGGGTCCTGGTGCCGAAGCTAGCCGAAGGATCGGCCGAAGCTACGGCCAGATCCTTCGGCAGCTTTGTGAATAGACCCCTATGTGATCTAATATGAATGTCTTTGTTGAACAATTGCATGGCAAGCCATGTAAAAACAAAAACAAATCCAATATAAGACAATATTCAACTTTTTCTAGTTTTGTCAGTAACCAGGTACTGTCTAAGTATTGATCTATAGGCACTGCATTCTGTTTTATGTAAACCAAAGGCTTCTTTTACCTGGCAGGTTCAACTTGGTGTGTGTAACCTTCTAGCTACATAAATATTAAAGAAATGCTAAAATTGTCAAAAGAGAACCTGTCAGGGTAGAAAAAAAAATATACAGAAGAAGTATGTAGCTCAGGAATTCTATGTACTCAGTTAAGGTCAATAATGCAATGGTTGACCATAGATTATGATGACAACTCTGGAACCTCGCCTTTAAAAAAGTTGGCAGTGACAAGTCATGAATTCTATCATGACAGTTTCTCTTGAAATGAATACATAAACAAATAGGTGCATATGTGTTTATGTGTTTTATGAAACACATATATATATA